ATACATATATATATATATATGTTTCAGCGCGCCCTGATATGTTTATACACGTATGAGCACTTAGAATCGTGCATGATCGTCTATCATATATCATTACAAGTTGGCTCGTCTCTAGCTGGCGGCTTATAGGCAGGGCGAGGGAAAGATGTCAGTTTTCTATGAATCCCAAGAATAGCCCGAGCTCGAGGCCTCCTGGCGGGTGGCCTGCGGCCTGCGCCGCCGCCAACCTCCTGTGCCATGCTAAGACCGGATCTAGAGCTTCGCGTAGAGCCACAGCCGTGCTGTACAAGTAGGCCCGAGGGAACTTGAAACTTGAAACCCTGCCTCATAGCCACAGATGTCTCCAAGGCGGCGGAGTGGTCGCACCAGTCATGCCACAAGAACGACTGCACCTTCGTGAAGCAGGCGATTCCTCATTTCTTATGTTGCTCCAGGCTCCAGGTACTCAAGCAATTAATAATACCTAGCTGAGAATCATAATTCGTTTCGCTGCGTTTTGCTCGGTCACCCGAACACAGGAGCAGCTAGTTATTTATTGTTCTGACTGCAAACAGTCGCAATACCCATCGGCGGGTCCAAAGTGGAGACGAGTAGATAGATAGCTAGGTAGATAGATCGATCGATAGGACCTAGTTAGGGTTCTCTGGAGCGCCAGGGTGCGTGGATGAAACACCTAAGGTGACACAGATTAGCATGACATCAATACTACACTTTAGTTACCGTCTTGCTGCTATGCTGCTGCACTTCTCGTCTAAACCTCATCTCTGTCTCGCCCGCAAGGCATATGCACAGCCGTGCGGCGTGGATGGGTGTGGATGCTACCCTTCCGACAGCTTGCCGCCATCCTGCTCAAGGAACCTTGACCGATGTGATCCTCGAGGGTTCAGACGAAGGTGTAAGCGAGTACTCTCCTAAGTCCTGAGAGAGGGTATAGGAAGATAAGTGGAGTACATGTCCATAAGTGCCGTAGGCAAGCTGGTTCAAAATCTTTGGCGAAGGAGCTCCAACTCCAAATTCGTGGTCTGAAGTCCGCCATTTTGAAATTGTAATACCTGCGGTACATTTCATGCACTGGTCAAATCTCAGCTGTGGTTTGGCATTTTGGCCTGTTCTGTTTGCGGTTGGTCACTAAGGCAAGCCCATCGCATACTGACTCAGTGAGCATCCATCGAGAGTTCCGCAGTGACTGCTTCATCTTAGGACTACTGCCCGTTGTTTCAATGCCTTGCTGCTGATGCAGTGGCCCTCTTTGCATGCCAAACCTGTGGAAGAGACCCTGCAAGAGTGGTCTCCTCCACCTCCGCCATGTCTCCCGGGAGTTAATCACCCGGTCTAGGTGCCCATCGGCTGCCTGCAGAGGCTTTAAAAACACGTCTCATGCTTTGCCAACCCATGCCGAAAGATGTTACGCTGCAACAACCACAATGGATTTCCGGCGTGAGACCACATGTTGTAGCTGGGTATGAGAACCGGAGGCTGAGTCCTCCATCGGCTTACGAACAAAATGCTCTTGTCCCGTTAAGCCCCTCTGCTCAGCATCCGAGCATCCGAAAACTGGTGTAGAACCACAGGGAGGCTTCACTGGAGTTCCTGACCTTTGATATCGGGTATATCTTTGGCCGGGATTCTTCATCCAAAGCGTGGGGTCTGTATCCCTCCTTACCTCAAGGTCTTGTCTTTGTTTGCGCCCGCTCCTGCGGGCAGCATGACCCTTCAGAGCCAGTTCGTGGTCGCACACGGGCTCAAAGCTTCATGGCCAGGAGAGCAGATTGAGCGGCAGTGTCCAGTTTCAAGGCGTTGTAAAAGCACAGAGCTGCGCAATGCACGCTTGCTGCTTGCCATCAGCTGCGCAAGCGCCGCTGACGTGATGCAGAGTGGACGAGCTCCAGTGGAGTCTCGGCACATGTGTTGTTGGCGTGAGTGCTGTGCAGTATCGACATCCTCGTTTCTGAACAGCACGGGCTCATGATTCGAAGAGGCTGATGCTCCTGAAGTCCCACTGCCTTGTGCGCCGGGCCCTCCGTAGCTTGGCAGAACTTCTTTTGCGCAAAAGCCTGCTTCCCTGCCAAGTTCAGAATCACACAAACGGCCTGCCAAAAAGCTGTTGCAAGACATCGGCATGTTGGCAAACGGTGGGTTTGCATCAAACGATGGACCCGTCTAAGCTGAAAAAGTGTCCATGCACGGGAACGGGGGGTGATTGCAGGGCGGAAGCCAGCCCAGGTCTTCTGCCTCTTCCAAGCCGCCAGACTGGACTCGAGTGGGCGATGGTGGCACGGCTGTACAAGCAGAAGCTCACCAGCAGGTCTTACTACCCTTAACAGACGTACTCTCTCGGTTCGGATGGTCCAGAGCTGGAGGGTTGGTATCGAAAGGTTCGGCTTTGTCCACTCGCTTACTGCTTACTGGCCGGCTACCTCGAAACTCAGAACATCCAAAGGCCCGAAGCAACAACATGGACTCAATCTTGATGTACTGGTGCGTGCATTTCCCGGCTAAGATGCCAGACCCAGCCTTCGTGCACAGGCACCTGTCGTAGGGATCAGTGAATCAGAGTTACAGTGAGCCCTGCCTTTTGTTCTGCAGCGCTAGATCCCCCTGCGATTGACAAGGTGTATTCCTTCTAAGAACACTCTTTCGCCATGACCCCTTTCAACAAGAGCCCTAAACCCTAAACCTTAAAGACAAGACTGGGTGTCCCTACTTGGAGGATCATGGGACTTAGTAAGTAAGGTTATAGGTCCCCAAATTGGGGTTATAAGTATAGTTACTGTACCTTAGTTATAACCCTACTTACTAAGTCCCATGATCCTCTAAGTACCCTAAACCCTAAACCCTAAACCCTAAACCCTAAACCCTACTTACTAAGTCCCATGATCCTTTAAGTACGGCAGGCACGGCGCTGCCTCGAAGGGGCGATCGGCTTCATGCAGAGGTCCAGGGCCGCTTCGTCTCGGTGCTTCGGGGGAGCGGAGGTGCCGCCTGGAACTTGCAGGGTTAGGGTTTTAGGGTTTTGGGTTTGGGGTTTTGGGTTTAGGGTTTTTTAGGGTGTAGGGTTTAGGGGTTTAGGGTTTGAGCAGAGGGAGCCCCCGGGCGTCGAGGCAAGCCCGCTGCAAAAAAGGGTTTTAGAGTTTAGAGTTTAGGGTTTAGGGTTTGGGGTTTAGGGTTTTTTAGGGTGTAGGGTTTAGAGTTTAGGGTTAAGGGTTTTGGGTTTAGGGTTTTTTAGGGTGTAGGGTTTGGGGTTTGGGGTTCATTGGCAGAGTCTGGGTTCAAAAAAGGGTTTAGGGCAGTTTAGGGTTTATCATGTTGCATCACATTTGGAGGGCCAGGAATTGAAAACTATTTGTATACAGTGATGGTAGGCTGGAGTCTTCTGGGTGTTTCTGTTCTTCGACCGAGAGCCATTGCTTTCTTCATGTATTGCTTGTCAGCTCAGTTGGCAGAGCTTCGAAGCGGCTCTATTAGAAGCTGAGGTGTAGGCGGAGATCTTATTCTCTGAGCTGGCAAAGCAGGATATATTTCTGACGGGTCAGGAAATGAGGCAGCCGTGGCTGCGAACGCATTTGGACAGGAGCTGTGGTTGAGCGTGCCTAGCTGGTGTGTCGCCCAGATGGAGGACATCGGCTTCCATTACGAGCTGGTGTTGTATCTGCCGATATCTGCCGAGTTTGTTCCAGCTTGCTGGGTTTGTTGTTGAGATGTAGGGTCTGTACTAGGTGCAGATGTGCTATTAATGAGGTCTGCATAGATTGCACAGAGGCGTAAATCTGCATAAGAACAGAGGTAGTTGTTTGAAACGAAAAGGTGCCCTTCACTGCATCGACTCCATTTGCTACCACACTGGCGGACCCCTTGCCATCGGTGACATCGAGGAGGCGCCTGCAACCATCCGACTGGTGTAGTGTCCACCGAGTTAGCCTGAACTTCCAGGTGAACGGGGACCTTTGCATCCGTTGTCCTTGGCATGACTACGACGTGAGACTGGAGGATGGTGCGAAGCCCTACCAGTCCATGAAGTTTGATCCTGCTACCAAGAGTCTTGGACCAATCCATGCGCGAAGTTGAAACGAGCTGCTTGATACTTGCACTGAAGATGCTCCTTCAAGATGCGGTTGTGATGACTCCGGTTCCCCAGGTCGCCTCGTGCAGTTTGGATGCTGGATCTTAGCATCAGAGGTGGCAAAACTGTAAACAAAGAAACACACAAGTCATGACACACCACCTCAACAAGGTTTAACAAGATCGTCATCAGCAGTTCCATCTTCAGCGTCGGCAGCATACCCTGGAAACGGAGAGCCTTTCAGCCCCATTTAAATGCGATTGAGATGCCCAGGAAGCTTGTCCCTGATGGCTGGAAGTTCACTCGCAACACGCAGCGGACGCACGAGGTGGTGTTGCGTGAAGGTGCCGCTCCGGAAGGAGGTGCTGAGGGATGAGCTGGGGCTTAGAGGTTTGGGGCCTGGGGGTCGGTTGAAACTTGTCTGAGCTTCGGAAAAAGATAGGGCCTCAGCGCAGCGGTATACTTCCTGACATGTACATGTTATGTATGTGTGTATTTGCAAACAGATAGGTAGACAGATAGACGTACAGAGACGCAGGCAGGTAGGCAATTAGGTATGTATGAAGGTCTGAGTTATACATGTCCTTACATGTATGTATACATATGTATCGCTGTTTTTGTTAAATGTGTTTGTCTTCATTGCGTTTTCTCTTGGTCTCACGCCATGCCTCTATGTATGCTTGCCTGTGCCCGGAAGGAATTTGGGTCCGGCTGAGCACCGAGGGCAAGTTCGAAAGCGATCAATTTGCCTATAACGACAATGCTGCTAAAAACGTGGCGCGAGGTGGCGGCAGTCGGTTTCAGCCTGCATATTTGCGGGGATGGTGCTTGGCCAGTTGGACATGCTGGTTTTGTCTTCGCATTGGGGATCTACGACTCGGTCGTGCGGTCATGAGAAACGAAGAAGTACACTTCTTTTGCATGTGAAACCTGGGCGCATGTCCAACATTGTCCAGCCCCGGCCCTGGCAGTGACGTACCCAGAGACTCCAAAACCCCTTAATTAAGGAATATACCTTAAATCATAGTAGGGATCCTATTATATTTTAAGGTATATTCCTTCATTAAGGGGCTTTGGAGTCTCGGTAAACTCCCCTAGTATCGTGTGCCAGCCTTCAGGTCTTCTAGCATGGCTTCAGTTGTCATATGTGGCACTTGTTCAGCATCGACTGACACTTCGCAAAGCTGCAGCGACTTCTTGCTTCATAATTACCCGGGGATGTCCACGACCGGATTATTGATTTCTGGCTTAGGTATATGGTAAGTATCCGTCGCAGGACTTAGCTGATGTCTCCCCGCGAGGAGACCCTTGCAACATCAACACCAGACCCTTAGGCTTAATTGGGGCTTATATAGGGCTTGACTTCAGAGAGCCTCCGTCATGTTGTGCAGGCGATCGCACCTTTGCGCCAGATGGCAAGAGCCCCGACAGTCCGGAGCGAGTTCATTGCGCTTTAGACTTGTGAGGTGAAACGAACGATATGCCATGAACTCCGTGGCTCTGCACTCCGGATGTTAGCTGTCAGCTTGATAGGGCGCGCACACACACAAGTTCCTGTACAATCCAGAAAACCCTGAAGCAGTGCAGAGTGTGACCGTGACCAAAAGTGAGCTGGTTCGAAGGCGAAACAATTAAAGACGGCATTTTGCTGCACTCTTTGCAAGCAACCAGAAGTCTTGCTCAAGGCACAGACCAGGACAAAACAAAAGCCAAATCACAACCCCTGTGACTTGGGTCATGTACTCATTCACTCTCAGGGTTAGCTCACATGGGCTAATTCCTTGCCTGGTGCTGTAATTCCGAAAGTTGCGGACATTCTAAACATGAAAGCTCGTGCCGGGAGCATGTCTCGGTTCGCCAAAGACGCCTCGCCCGTGAGCATAGATCTCAGCCATGCGAGAAAAAACCCTGAAACCCAAAAGCCTTAAACCCTGAAGCTAGGATAAAATTGGAACGATACAGAGCAACACAGAGAAGAGTAGCATGGGTGCTGCGCACAAATCGAGCTGGAAAAGAAACCCCAGCTTACATTGCCGACGCAGGAGAAGTCCGGGACTTCCGGTTACAAGCGGAGTGGCGAGGCAGGGCTCAAATATACTGTATATTAGCATCGTAGAATATAGAATAGGTATGAGACTCTATATATAATATTCTATTTAAGAGAGGGACTGCGCAGACCAGCCAAGGGCTTTGCATCTTATTCTGCTATGTAACAAATGAATATGTGTAACAAATACAGGTACTTTTAACATTACATGGTATTGTATATGAAACAGCGGATATTGTAGATGAAGTGTTATTTTAGCTGTTGCTTTCAGTTCATTTTACACAATTATTTGTGTTGGTATATCATATTAACATTCTGCTATGTATGATAGTGGAGCTCGAAACCTCGGCAAAGGGCTTCGGCATCTCGTCCCAAACGTCACGGATCACCAATCCTTTAAGGTTTAGAGGGTTCAGGGATGTTCAGGGTTTAGGGCTCAGTGATAAAAAAAAAAAGGTGCAATTAGTTCAGGGTTTCGGGGACAGGTCGGGGCCAATACTAGCCATGCAGAACCTCATGCCAGATTCACAGATTCTGCGTTCAGATGAGTTTGAAACAAGCAAGTGAGGTCGATTTGGTCTACCCTCTCCCTCTACAGCAATCTGAGTTGTCGATGTTCCAGCAGGATCTATAAACCCATGCCCATGTTGCTCCAAAATCTGCCCAGCGAAATGCCGTCTGCAGGTGATAGCTGAGATGCGGGCTAAGGCGCAGGGAGCTCAGACTCCACTCCTCAGGCCATCCGGCTTGAGGCTTGGCTCGTGCATGCTCACGTCCATCGCTGGAACCGAAGCCTCCTTCAACAGCGAGACTTGACTCGGACACCTCAGTGCTCAGGTCAGCACAGAAGATGCCCCCACCTCCGGCTCTACTGACGCAGCCGGCGACACTGCAAAGCTTGCATCCACTCGAGTGGCGGCCTTTCCGCCTTTTAAGCAGCCCGGCTTGGACCATCGGTTCTGGGTTTATAGATGCACACGAGACGGGCACGAAACCGCATTGGGCACCTCGTTGATGAGGCAAAAAGCAGCTTGCGGGCAGCGTTTGGCTGTTCCGCTTCGCGCTGCCAGCGGAGCGCTGGGTGAAAGAGTTTGAAGCAAAGGCATCGTACCCATAGGTTCCCCTCCGAAGACCTCAACTCAGAAGGGTCTTGCTGTGCATCGAGCTGAAGCTTTACACAAGTATCTGCCCTGATTTCACTCAACTACCTGTCCATGAACCGGTTGGCAACTCTGATAACCAAGTCCGCCCTTGCAGGATCAGCAGCTTGGCTGGTCATCGTTACGGCATGCCACTGCGCTTGATTCAGATAGGTCAAGGCGGCAATTTCTGTGAAGATCCATGTCATTGCTCTCTGCTTGCATCACTGAACTGCTTGCAGGTGCGAATGCGCATACCACTGCCAAAGATGGATGGTACTGGTCCTGCTGCAGTGGAGCGCGACACTCGCTCTGCAAAGGGACTCCTGGTGCTTGTTGCGCATGATGACCAGCGAAAGGGTCTCAAGTCCTTCAGCTCTTTGCGATCCTCTGTCTGCCTTGACTTCGAGGTTCAAGCAAGCTCGAGCATTCATCCCTGTTATTTCCTTGTAGTGCTTGTGTGTCTGGGAGGTTGTTTCACCACAGCAGCTCCCGCAGTCATAGCAACTGTTTTCTGCCCGGCATCAGCACTGCAGACCACGGCCGTCACATCTTCTTATGACTGATCAGGAGTACACCCCAGTGTCGCCTCTGGGCCGGACGGGTTGCTTCGACCTTGCTGTGCAGCTGGGCAGAGACATCCGACGGAAACACACGCCATCGCCATCCTTATTGCATACAGTAGGGTACCTAGCCTGTTTTGTGAAGGGGTTGCATGGAGCCGGTTTTGTTAAAGCCCACGCATGGACAACACGACCGGCATCTGAGTGCATCTTGACACATGGCGGATGGCAGAGAAATGCGGGCTCTGCAGAAACAGTTACATCGAAGTAGTTTTCAACAATAAACTTTCCCGATCACCGAGCACACATTTGTGAAGATCTTGCTCGGCTGCACCAGTGGAACTTGCTTACTGTTCTTAGTGCGTTTCTGCGCAGCCCAGGAAGATTTACCCGGAGGGCATGCTGACGGCAAGGCTTGCCAAGATACTTGACGGAAGCGACAACGCTCCGACATGGTGCTTTTGGAAAGTTGTCGTCGATAGCTTCAGGAGAGGTCTGGGTTTCAGGACGTCTAAGCGAGTGGTGCCTTGCTTGGCCAGAGTGTCAGATTTGGGAGGTTGGCTTGAAGGAATTTCCATCACCATGCCAGGAATCTAAAAATAGGGTGCGCCTATCCGGCCTATCCATGCCATTGCAAGCCATCAGACAACTTCGAGATGCCTCTGCGAGGATCCTAGAGCAGAGGACTCTCCACAAGCTCTTGCGCTTGCAGCTGAGGATGGCGCCTGGTCAGCTTGTAGACATGTGTGGACCACTGGGCGCAACGCAGCTGCATGCGGGCTTACTTCACCAAAGGCATGGCGACATCTACGTTCAAGTTGAAGAGATGGATACAGGTTTAAGAACTCGCAGCATCTCAGGACTGATTAAGAACTGCTGGCTCGTGTGGAGCTGAGGATTTCACTTTCTCCTGGTCGGCTAAGACGTTGACCAGGCTGGTGAAGAGCCCTCCCGTCCTTCAATATTAGAATAGGGTTTTGGGACCCATTATACTATAATTAAATTAAGAAACCCCAAAATAGACCAACTACTCCTACACAGCCACCCCGGCGGACTGCGCGCAGTGTCGAGGGTCTGGGTATGTTGGATCCAGGTTCCGCTTGTGTTGACAATGCCGGCTATTGTAATAGAGGGGCCTCCATGATTGCGGGCTCCTTATCATAAGTGTACAAGTGTATAATGGGCCCCAAAACCCGATTCTAATTATGAAGGCCCCTACACTACCCTTCCGGCCGTGAGCTGCATGTCTGGAGCTGCAAGACTGCTCATCCGATCCAGGCTGGAGCAGACCTTGAAATTCATCAGCTGCTCAACTGCTATGCTCAAGACGGTCTTTGCATGTGTTGTCACGTTGTGCCACAGTTGACTGCAGGGTATATGCTGTAAAGCTTACAGGCCATTCGTCAAAATCTTGAGTTCACTCGCAATCCAGGTATCGTTTTCGTGGTGGCAGGCAGCGGTGTCACTCCCGCCATCCAAGCACTCCAGGACTTGCCGCCCGCAAGACTCTGCCTTACTGTTTTGCTGCTCCGAAACCCAAGGCATTAATAAACCGAAGCAGGCCTCTAGCACCGTAGTGGGCGTGCAAGCTGCAAGCGACTCTGCACGGGAGCCCTGATAGTTCCCACGCCCACTCCAGGACTGGGTGGCTTCAGGCAGGATGTGTGGATGCTTTGAGGATTGAGAGTTCCTGAGCCGTTGTATTCTGATTTCAAACATGCGGTGGTCAAGGCACAAAAGAAGAATCCATCCAGTTGGACACAGCATGTGTCACGCAAGGCCGTGCGGGAAGAGATGTCACGGTGACAGTCATCTACTCCAGTCGCGACGAGGATGAGAGACTGGGCCATTAAAGACTAGTATTATGGAATGCTACAGTATATTTTAGTACATCTTGCCACATTATATAAAGCTATAGTAGAGTGCATTGTACGATGTTCAAAAACAGTGTAGTACAGTACAGTCGCTCGTATTCAGCATTGAATTTCAGTTCTGGTTCTCCGATAAACCCCAAGCCCTAGCCTCCCATTGGGAGGCACAGCGCTGCTACAACTTGCCTTTGGGGTTCAGGGTGTCTAGGATATCAAGGGTCCTAAATCCCAAACCCTAAACCCGAAACCCTTAGGATCTAGGGGCTTCGACTTGCTGAGGATTGCTTTCCTCCCAGAGCTCCGGCAATTGGCGCAGCAGCTGCTTTGCTAAGGGCTCTTTTTTCTCCACCTGTTGAGCAGTGGTCACGGGTCCTAATCTGTAGATTGGGTATACCGTTATTACTTACATCCCGTGCACTTTGCACAATATTCAGAAGCCAGGTTTGCCGATCGCTTCCGCCTGCACCTGGCAGCACCTTGGGGGCAGTTGATTCAAGAGTATTTGAGTTCTTCGTGATCAAGGTGAGCACGCGTTGCTTCCGCTTTCAACAGCGCCAGCGGCGGTTGGTGGGTCTAGGATGGTAGCCGCGTAGACCATTGGCCAGTATTCTGAGGTGAGCCAGCCGCGAACGGATGCCTTTGCAGGCCATCGCGGAAGGATTGATGAAAAGGCCGGATGCTTCAGGAACCTCCGGCTGATTCAGGCCGAAATTTCAAGGTGCAGAACAGACATCATGCGCATTAAGTGCAGCGGGCCTTTGCGGGGTTGCAAAGTACACTTCGGCCCACATCGTGGAATCAAGCTATGCTGCAGCGGAGGTTCTTCAGCAATGGCTGGGCCAGGGTGGGGTCGACACGCCGGCGCTGGTGTCTTCAAAATAATCATCAAGGCTCTTCTGTTGGTCGTTTCCTGTATGCGTTGAGGGCTTCGGTTCAAGGATACCCACAAAAAGGCATCCCCAAAAAAACATCTCGACGACGTGTAGGACCAGGAGGACGGAAGGGCGTTTTTGTGGGGTTGACCTTGAAGAAAAAGGCGAGGTTCGGAGCCTACTTTCACGTCTCAAGCCTTACTTGCGCTCCAGCGCGAGTGGTCCTTCAGCGAGGGTCGAAGTCTCTATAAGGTCAAGGATGTCGAAGGCAGCAGCTTCGGAAGGGTATACTCGTGTGTTTCTATGGTGAGGTGCTGCGAGGTGAGTGTGCATGTGTGTATGTAGGTGTGGAGTTTAATGGATGTCAGGCAGGGAAACGAAGTTCCGATTTTGGTGCTGCACCTCATCCTGCGATATCACCCAGGTCTGTGGCCCCCCTGGCTTCAATGAATTCATGAAAGAAGCTTTGGGGAATCTGGGTTTTGCCCATGTCTTCTGCCTTTAGCAAAGTGTCTCACCGCCATTTTCCTGTAGCTTTGCGCTCGTGCTTGTCAAAAAGACTAGCAGCACCTGGCACGCGGGCTGGTCAGACACGTGCTGCACGGTTCTCCGCTGTAATAGGTTGGGCATGTCACTCACACTGGAGACGTTTTCCTGCGCTTTGTTTCTCGTGTTTCTCAGCGTGTGGCTCAGCCTTGCGCTAGGCCAGCGGGCACAGGTGCCAGCTTTTATGGCGGCCCTGCTCGATGCCATCAGGCACACATGGCTTCCCCGTTTTCGGAGCTGACTCCGAAATTCCTTCTGAAGCTTGATCAAAGCTGTCCCGTGCAACTTCCCCATGGCAATGCATTCGTAAGAGCCTTCATTGACATATCTGGGCGACACCAACAGATGGTCATGCGCGCTTCAAGCCCTCGCCGCCAGGTCTGCGATGGCTGCCCCGGACGCGCGTCCGACCGGGTTCGGGCCTTGGTCTAAATCATTGCATGCGCCCAGCATGGAAACATGAGAGTCTCACCAATTACAACTGTCAACTCCATCAAGTTCCTCCACTTGCTAGCAGTTAGCACGTGTAATTGCAGATGTGAGGGTTCGAGTTGTTGGCCATAGAAGCCGCCCAAAAAGATGTAGCAGCGAAGCCTCACACTACTTCACACCAACTGACAACACGCTATCGGACGGCGGAGAGTTTGCTTATAAGGTACCAGCCATCCGAACTGGCAGCGCGTTCGCTTTCTGGCGGGCATCATGTCGGCATTCGGTTTATGAGTTTGTGACTCTTTATGTTTATGACATCTGTCATGTCTATCCATTCCACGCTTTTGCTGAGCAGCAGCAGTGCTTGGCGACTTGGTCAGGTTTGCATTCTTGATTCTGCGGTGCTGTCCATTTTGCAAAACAACAGGGGTAATGTCGTGGCACCGGGACTCAGAGAACTTCGCGGATTGAGTCGAACTGAGAATACAATAAGAAAGGTTTATCCACAATGGGTGAACTACTCAGATAGTTTGAAGATCCCCGAGCACGCCTAATAATAAGAATCAGAGGGCTCAACGCCGAACGGTCGATATGTCCGACACGTGTGTTTAGACGACGCTGCGACGGCAGGGGTTAGAAGCCCAACTTCGCTGAAACGTCCTTTCTTTGGGATGGGATGCCGGTGTGGGGGACTCTCCAGTGCTAGTGTTCCATAAATATGTTTTCTAAACTAGGGTCGATTTTGTGGGGATTTGTTATAAGGTTGCCGTACTATATTGGGGATCTAAAAAGGGACCCCATTTTAGGGGAGCTACCCATATCGTTCCTGATTGCCGAGGCATGGGTCGAGTGGTGCCACGAGATCATTGAAGCTGGGCTTGAGAAGTCTTCCGAGGCTAGGAAATGGGGGCGGAGCTGCAGGACGGAAGTTTGAGAGACCACGCCAAGTAGGCTACGTGGCTCAGACGAACTCCGACCAAGGAAGGCAGAAAGCGGATTGTGGCCGGGGGAGTCGGATCACCTCCCTTCGCCATCGAACTCCTCGTCCAGGAGGGGGCAGCCGGAGTGCCCGGGCTCTGCCAGAGGTGCCCCAAACCCTGAGCCCTCAACCCTAGGCACAAACCCCAAAAGCCCAAAGCCACTAACCCTAAACAGCCACTCGCCCATAAGTCCTACATCTCTTAGCCCTTCTTCGATCTGAGGACACTGCTGATGGGACCTCTACCACCTGGCTCATCCACCCGGAGCCAGCGGCACAATAGCTTTGGAGGAGACGGACGCTCGGCCAGAACATGCAAGTCCACAAGAGCATGAATATATGTGTATGTATATATATATATACAAATCTGTCTGTATATATATATATACACATATCATTATGTTTTAGATGTATATATGTATATGCTCAATCTGTATACATACGTGTACATGAATATATATATATATATATATATATATATGTATCATATCTTAAGTATATTCTCATTTTTGCATATACATACATACCACGCCATGCCATGCCATGCCCTGCCATACAGTACCATGCAGTACAATGCAGTGCAGGACAATACATATAATGTGTATGTCAATATGCACACGCTATGCTATATGGACATATATAATATAGCTAGTCGCATGCACTACATAGGTAGGTGTGTATGTATGTATATATATATATATACATACATAGATAGAGCTGTAGCCCAGAGAGACCTTTTGCAATATGTCTTCTCATAGTCTTCAAAAATGAATGCGCTGTGCATCTCTCTCTCTCTCCCCCCGTGTCTCTTTGTCTCTTTCCGCCTCTGCCCTTCTCTCTCTCTCTCTCCCTCTCAGTCTCTGTCTCTCTCTCGCTCTCTCTCTCTCTCTCAGTCTCTGTCTCTCTCTCTCTCTCTCTCTCCCTCCTTGTCTCGCTGTTCATGCCATGACATGATCCGGACCTCAGGCGAAATTTGATGTCGGAGTGCAGTGTAAGTTGTGGCTTCGATCGCACTGCTAGCCAGGATGATTCAGGGTAACGCGAGTTTGCCCGTCGTCTTCTCAACCCGAGGTTACAAGAGTTGTGATGAACCACGCAATTCTTTCTATCGTTATATGTCCCGATGCTACCAATCAATACCCACCAAATAGAGGCCTCGTCTTTATGATGTTTGCTATCTTCCACTGTTTGGACAGCGGAGGCCACCCCTTGAGCTCGTATTGCTCCTCTGTGCCTGAAGAGAGGCCCGGGCTCGTGTGCTGCTAAGAGCTCAGGCTCCAGGAGCATCATTTCTGCTAGAGCCTGAATTTCCGGTTTTCTAGTTCTGATTGGGGCATGGCCGGGGATGGATGCGCGAAGGAACCAGAGAGGTGGGAGCGAGAGAGTTTGCGTTGTGTGTGTCCTAAAGACTGCCGAGCTTGTTAGGTCGCAAACTCTTCAAGACTTCAAGACATCCTTGAAACTCACAAGTCCACCCACGAGACTGGCAGGCCCTTAGCTCAGACGCCTGCTTACGGAGATCGGCACCAGGTGTCGAGCTTTCCCGACAGGACAAAAGACGTTTCTTACTTCCGTTGTCATCGTGAAGATCCTATAGTGATGATGGTTAGTATTGATTTTTTCTACTTATTGTTTCCTACGGAGACCTGCACAGGATTCCGTCCTTCAAGACGGACGTCGACAACCTCCCAACATCGTTGACCCAGGAACGGCTAGCAGAGCACAACTGTGACTCGTTTGGTCGACGGGGGCCGGCAATGCCCTACCCCGCCGCAGTTTCCAGGGCCTCCCAGGACGGCAGAACGGAGCAGGATGATTCCAGTTTGAGGCTAGAGGGAAGCATCTGCTCGGATTTGCCGCAGCGCCTGGGGATCACGGGGGTAGTCCCCTCGCAGGCAGTCTCCCGCAAGCAAGGCCGCCCATGTGACAAGTGGAAGGAAGGGAGCATTGTGGAGGTCTTCTCTGCATCGGTCGGACAGTGGTACGCTGCCCAAGTGGGCCAAGTGGAGCCTCAAAGCGATGGCAATGAAGACATCGTGACAGTCGTATTTTACATTGGCGACCAGATTAAGCAGAAGTCCATCTACCGGACAGATGCTGCTCTGGCAGCTTTGGGGACACACACCTTCAACGAGCTCCCACCAGGATTTGAGACCAGACCTTCACAGTCTAAGCCGGGACAGCTGGTCTACTTCGACCTGACAGCTGGCATCAAGCATCTTGGTTTCATTGAGCATAGATGAAAGTCGTTCTCCCGAGTCCGGGGCAAACAACTCCAGCCTTCAGATTAAACTCCAGTCTCTTTTCCGGTGGCATCCATAGAGAAACGAGCCTGACGACACACCAACGCAGCACGGCAATGGCAAGGTGCACCAAAGCAGAGTAACCCCAACTGTTGGTTCACCGCCCCCTTCACGCCGCCAGACAGCAGCCTCACCCTTGCACTACCATCCTCGTGGCCTTGTGCTCAACTCCCTGACAGCAGTATCGGAAGGGGTGGCTGCTACAGCTCGAGACTGATCCTACATTGTCCTACATTCGGTACTTGTACTAGAAACCCCAGAAGCCCTAAACCCTAAACCTGCCTTCTGCTTGTGCGAGAGTGAGAAACCCTAAACCCCTAAAGCCCTGCCCAGGTATGCCTCTTTAGAGCTGGCCTGGCATGTGCACTTCGAGCGCCTGAAGCAGCAACCTGCCGGCTGCGAGACCGTCGTGTCTCAGATGTGGAGAGTTTTTGACGGGTTAGGAATTCTAGTTGAAGGGTCATCTGGGGTCCTACCATCTATCCTATCGTTTAGAGCCAGGCTGGCCCCGATGCGTTCGTTAACTCTGCTGTCCAAACGGGCTTTTGGGCCTCCACTCTGTGTCCAATGTGTCACTCTTCCCATGTCTTATGGTTTGCGCCGGGTTGCAGGATCCCATGAAACTCAGGATGTCGGATTTCAGCCGGCTTGCAGAATGACGTTCCGCTAGCTGCACACCTCAGCACGAGCTTGGAGCATTCCGGCGTGTTGCCATCTCGTTTTAAAAGCCAAGCCTGCAGCAAGTACTACTCTCTTTGGGCTTTATCCCTATCCCCGAAGCAGGCAAACACACCAGCCCGTGAGTTCACTCGTCGAAGCTCGCACAGAATCTACGCTTCCCTACTCTACCAGGTTTCCCAATCGGGCAATGACTTGGTAATGTAGGGGCCTTAGTCATCGGACTATGACTAGGCTTCTGGCAATATAGTGTGGCAGAGTATAATCAGGAAACCTGCAAGGAATGGTATTGGTAAAGATTTAGGCTTTTATGATGCTTCTTTCGGCTCCCCAAAAACTCCGAAGTGAGGCGTGCGTACAAGCGGGCCGGGGCGGCCCACGGGCACCGATTCTGCAAGCGCCAATCGCAGACGTTCCTTCGCCCATGCTGCTTGTCCGACCAGGGTAGTCGTAGTGAGCGTCACTTGCATAGCGGTGGGCCGGCAGCCACCGAGAGTTCATCGGTGCTTTGCCAAGGAAGTCCATGACGCTGGCCGAGCTGGCGAGGGAGGACTCGGTCGAGACAGCCTTACCTCCTCCTGGCAAGGCTTGCGCGGTCCTGCAGGGGGTGCTGAATCCCAACATAGACAAAAACATAAACAGCTAGGCCTGGAGACTCGCAACATCTTGGAAGTAGAGAAGACGGACTAAACGATGCGAGATGCTGTTTGGATCCTGTTGGAGGAGTTGTTCAAGACATGTCAACACCACAACGTCGGTCGCCCTCGTAGTTGCCGGGTACCTCAGAAAGAGACCTTGAGAATCAGAGCCCGAAGTCTCGGTTTTGGTTTACTAGTGGAAATCTGTCTGTCGTGGTTGCTTAAGTCTGGACGTGCGGCATGGCAGAGCGGCGTGTGCTTGAAACAGATCTCGGAAACGTCTAGCTACCTCCTGAAGTGAGCGCGGCACAGATTCAAGGTTGTGACAACTTATGTCAGTGCCGATGTTCCAAAAAGCCCAGTGTGACATCCAGCTTAGACCACTACGTCTTCACCCCGGCAGCTCCTGTGAACCGAGCCTCTTACGCCCTGTGGTTGGAAGGTGGCCCTGCCTTCCTTCGGCGACGGCCTGGGGAGCCAGGCAAGATGCGACTAGAGCTCGTGGAATATCTGCTCAAAGTGTTTCTTTTCCATTACAAAGATTGAATGAATGAAGTCCTCAAAACAAAGCTGGGGTGTTGCGCCAGACATGTGCGAGCTTGTGAAAGCAAGTGTTCGCCGAAGACTCAAGCAGACACCAAAATTGCCGGCCGGGCAGGCTGCGTACTTGGACTATGTGGGAGCCCCTTCTGGTGGGAGCTACGGCGCGGAGAGCGCATCCCTGGCATCTGGGTACCAGGTGGGTTTGTTGCACTGCCGATCGAATTTCAGACCAGCTGATTTCCCTTCAGGTGGTGAAAGCTTCAGCGCCCCAAAGACCGCTCAAGCTTCGATTCTCGACTACCAGAAGTTTCTGTTCTCCAGTTGCTCAGGGAGCTTTAGCTTCTCCCCCGCCTCCTCGCAAACCGGGGGGATGGATGGAAGGCCTGTGGCCTATCCTTCAGTTTGTCCGATCTTGCAGATGCGCAGCATTGGCACCACCCAGGAAACATCGACCCAGCGCTGCAGAAATGGCAGGAGGTCACTTGCCGCAACTGTAATTTTCGTCTTGTTCGTCACGACGACACTGTTGTAAAAGTTGGAAGACCACAGCACGGAGATTGTGTCTTGCAGTTTGCACTGTCTCGACTGCCCGAGGATGCATTTTCTGAGTGGCGGCGCTAGTTGCTAGCTAATTCAGCCCAGGGCAAAAGCTCAGGGCACCCATGGACACCGGAATGATGGCAGACAGTCTTTCAGAGAGCTTGGGGTTTAGAATGCAGGGCTAGCTGCTGAACCTTGCGGCATACTGTAGTTTCCTTTTATCAGGTCACCACTTGCGGAGCCTTCTGAAGAACTCTGCCGCGCAAATGTGCAAGGTCTAGTCGAGAGCCGAGATGCCCATCGATCCTGCTCGAGTGGAAACGGAAAATCATCTCTCCTTGCGTTTGCCATCTTGTTGAGATGTCAGCTCCTGAGCTACACAGTCAGACTAGGACGGTGTTCAAGTTTGTTCAGCACTCTACTGCCTGGACCGGCCGGTGACCACAGAGATCCTCCATTCTGTGCCGAGACAGACCCTAAAGTGTCAGTACTTCTTTCACTTTGCGTATGATGTCACCTTCGATGTTTTTCGTCCGGGGGCCGAGGTCAGCTAGTGTGCTTGAAGGCTTGGCGACTTCGGATACTTACCAGTACATAACCCGCTCGGCGTCACAGCGCTGACTGCCATGGCCGCTGTATTCACAGTTCGCCTGCTGAGCGGCATCAGTTTCGAGGCGGAGCGACTGAAACGGGACGACGGAGAGGTTGCAGCTGGTTGCGCAAGGGTGCACGCGATTGGCCAAGGTCGAGTTGCCACATGGGAACCCATTGGCAAAAGAGGTAAAGATGGCTATCAAGGAGGCAAGGAACATTCCTGTGCGTCTCGGATGAAGTCACAGCATAGCCAAGGCCAGCTTTGAAAGGAGAGACACTTGGACGATAAGCGCAGTGCGGTAGGTTCTCGTCTTGTCCTCGAAGGTATGACCAGCGCCTGATCCTTGATGGACAAGAGCTGCCTAACTTCAGTCTGGCCGCTTGCTCCAAGCATTGAGCTGTTATGCCAAGGCTAGACGAAGGCATGCGTGGCAGTGTGTGTGTGTGTGTGTTTGTGTATATATAATTATATTATATGTATATATATATATATATAATTATGTATATATATATATATATATGTAGATTCAGATGCGCACTGCAACCAAGTTTGAGTTGAACCACGACTTTCGTTGCGTTGCCGTCATGGGCCGGATCACGGTGGGACGGCACCGGCTGTGCTAGTTACTTGCGTCATGCGCCTTGCAATCCGTCTTGTGCAGCTGAGGTACAGACGGACAAGGAGATCTTGCTGATCATCGGGGCCACCAACATTACGGAGACTGTGTTGGATTTTTTGCGAAATCGAGGAGCCGTGTGGCTTGCTGTGCTATTCATTTCGGTGTCTGGCGATCTTGCTCCGAGCATAAGGCAGAGGTACAGTAATCAGCTATCCCCATAATCTTTAGCAGTGCTGAGAGAGTCAGACGGGCAAAGGCTTTTGCCCCTTTCCCCTTTACTCTGGGTCGGCGTTCATGGGACGAGAATGGTGTTAACCACATCGGTGTTTTCAAGGGCGTCGGCACATCAGGCACATCCATACTTCATGCTGCATCACAGTGACATTACTTTTCTGGCTTAGCTGCCTTTCTGGACATCACAGTGTGATGCTTGCTTTAGTTTCGTATCCGTGTGTTTTGAGCTGTGGCTGTGTGCGTTTACACTCTGGCCAGAGTGAAAGCTGGTGGACATGCTTTTACCTTCATATTCGTTTTTCACTGAATAACAGCCCCGAGGGCATGCGTCTGCACATGCCGCGAAACCGCCTTGACGTAGATCGTGTTCATGCGCGTCAGCAGCTGCAGTAGCGGCAGCAGCAGGAGCAGGAGCAGGAGTAGCATTTCAGTAGCAGTAGCAGTGGCACTAACTGCTGCTGCTACTGCTACTGCTGCTGCCACTGCTGCTGCTGCTGCTGCTGCTGCTGCTGCTGCTGCTGCTGCTGGCTGCTACTGCCACTGCCATTACTGAATACAAAATCACGACCAGTTGCCACTACTGCCACAACCTGCCACCACGAGTCCTAATAGTAATAATAATGCTCATCATCACAATAAGAACAAGAAAACAATACTATGACCAATCACAATAAGAATAACAGTCATCATCGCAATTAGCGTGCAGGCACTGGCCGTAACACCGACCAAACATCCAGGCGCTTTCAGGTTCAATTCAGAGTTTTCGCAAACACTGCAGCTGCCGTGTTTGGATCAGTGGGGTCCCCAGCAGCAATTACCGATAGCCTCAAAGACCGAATTTATGACAGCATAAGCTGCGATTCAAATCATGGGCGTTGTAAATCTTCTTCTGTGTCATAAACATGCTTCTCCCTTGCAGGTCTGGAATACATAAGTTTGGCAGCAGTGGACAGCGTAAATAAGAAGTGTGCCCGTAATGCCTCAGAGGATAGGGCAGTGGCTAGTTCTTGACAAAATGAAACAGTCTTGCCACTAGACTCATCGTTGTCGTGCTTCCGGTAGGAGTTGTTGTGGTAATGACGGTATCTATAGTTGTAGCAGGCATTTTGTCATGAATTCCTGAGCTGAGGCCTTTCTGTGGGGATGAGCTCGGCAGTCCTTTGCCAGAGCCGCTGTCAGCCAAAGAGCTGAAGCAACTTGTGGAGCAGTGCCGTCAGAGCTGCATGGTGCCTCGGCATTGCATGGCATGGTGATCTTTGCGAGCTACCCCCCATCCTGTTGGCAGATGAACTCTTCCCATGATTGACGTCAGCTTCCCACCTTACAGTCTTGTTGAGAGGCATCCTCGCACAGGTGTTGCAAGACTTGTGGGAAGCTTCCAAGAGCTCATGCAGACTGAAAGCTTTCTGCCATGACTACGGAACCTAAGACGCCTCCTTTCTGGCAGTGAGCTTTGTGCAGGTGGCATGGGCTTTGGGCGCAGCAATGTTCAAAACTGTAGACTGCGACGATGATCGGAAGAGTATCCGTGACAGCCCACCACCACAGCTGCTGGACGCTGTTCTCAAACGGCGACCTATATTCCTGAATCCACAGCAATCTATGCATCCCGACTTGGTCACCCGCTGCGAAGACACTTGGGTGGACTTATTACCGTTTTTTACTTCGGTGCGCTTGCTTGCTCCAGTTCGATATGGATGTGTGTGGGTGTGTTTTAGCAGGGCAGCGCCACAACCACGACGACTCCGACCACTACCACCATGACTGCTAATTAATCAGAACTAATCAAGACAAAAGTTCAAGCATACAAAAGACATGAACTAAGCATAGCAGATCCGATCTGTATATATTATGTATATATATATATATGTATATACATACAGATCTCTGACAGACCCCAATGTGGCCTACAGTATTACTTCAGTGTATGATATGATCGGTTCGTGTTATATACCACCACGACCACGACTCCTGCTCCGTGCGGTACTGCCACGCCTTACCACTGCAATGCTGTAGCTGCTGGTGTTGAGGCTGGCTGCCACTGTTCCTACTGTTGCCACGAATGTAAACACTTGTAGAGATGCTCCATCCGAGTGGAATGCTTCCACTTTGGGGAATCTGATCTTGGCGACGTGCTAACACAAGTCTCCGGCCTCTGCATTTTCGCGGCCATGCGGACACAGTGCCCAGCAGCACAGGCGGCCACAAACCATCGGGAAAATTTTTCTTCTCGCCCCTGGGGAGTGAGTTGATGAGCGAAAGGAAAATGGAAAACACACTCCTTGCACCGGAAACCGAAAGCCAGATGCAAGATGTGCCTGGTGGAGTACATGAGCCTCAGTCAAGTATCGGGCGAACCTATGCTGGGCTGAAGCCTTCGTCCGAAAGGCTCTGGTCCTCACAGTTCCGAGCTTGAGAGGCATGAAATGGACTTGTTCTGTGATGTGTTTTCAGGTTGCTGTTGCCTTGCCGATTTGTTCAGACTTCTCCCTTAAGTTTGCGAAGGAATGGGCGCTTCGCTGCGACAAGGTCCCTGTCACGGAGGACGGCTTCCACTTTGCAGGTTAGAGTGAAGATGGTGGGCTGGCTGTGATTCAGTGATCCGGACGGGGTTGTGAGGGCCCCCAGAAGGGCTCCATCCCGTGCCTTCGTATGTGTGGTGTGAGATTCAAGTTTTAGGTGGATGCAATCATGGAGGCTTCGCAGCCTTCAGCTCCAGCTCTTGATCTCCTGGTTCCTGTACTTGCAGCAAGCCTGCATGCAGAAGCACGTGTAGTTTAAGTCCACCGGCGGTCGCACCACCTGTCCCTGCGAACTCCTACGCACCCGGCTGGCTACAAAGACAGCGCCGAGAATAGCAGCGTAACCATCATCAACCACGCGACCAAGCCCAACATAGCCCCCAACGAAAGCAACAGCCTCAGCAGCAGAAGCGGAAACAGCAGCAAGAACAAGCAGAAGCAGAAGAAGTCGAAGGACCACATCGACGACACCGACGACCACAACCACAGCAACACCACCACCACACAACAACAACAAC